CAAAAATAAATAAATGGGACATGATCAAACTACAAAGCTTCTGCACAGCCAAAGAAATAGTCATAAGAGTAAACAGACAACCTACAGAATGGGAGAAAATTTTTGCATCCTACGCATCGATAAGGGGCTGATAACTAGAATATACTTAGAACTCACAAAAATCAGCAAGAAAAAATCAAATAACCCCATTAAAAAGTGGGCAAAGGACTTGAACAGAAACTTTTCTAAAGAAGACAGAAGAATGGCCAACAAACATATGAAAAAGTGCTCAACATCTCCAATCATCAGGGAAATGCAAATCAAAACCACAATGAGATATCCCTTAACTCCAGTGAGAATGGCCTTTATCAAAAAGTCTCCAAACAATAAATGCTGGCGTGGATGCGGAAGAGAGGAACACATCCTACACTGCTGGTGGGACTGCAAACTAGTTCAACCTCTGTGAAAAGCAATATGGAGATACCTTTAAGCGATACAAGTGAATCTACCATTTGATCCAGCAATCCCATTGCTAGGCATCTACCCAAAAGATCCAATGACACTCTACAAAAAAGACACCTACACTCGAATGTTTATAGCAGCACAATTCATAATTGCAAGGCTGTGGAAACAGCCCAAGTGCCCATCAATCCAAGAATGGATTAATAATGTGGTATATGTATACCATGGAGTACTATTCACTCTAAGAAACAATGGTGATATACACATCTTATATTTTCCTGTTAGAGCTGGAACCCATACTACTAAGTGAAGTATCCCAAGAATGGAAAACAAGCACCAGATATATTCTCCAGCAAACTGGTATTAACTGAGTAGCACCTAAGTGGACCACATAGGTACTACATAATAGGGTATTGGGCAGGTGGGAGGGGGGCGGGTATATACATATATAATGAGTGATGTGCACCATCTGGGGATGATCTGCTGGAAACTCAGACTTGTGGGGGGTTGGGGGAATGGGCATTTATTAAAACCTTAAAATCTATACCCCCGTAATATGCCAAAATAAAAAAAAAGAATTAAAAAAATAAAATAAAATTTTAAAAATGACTTTACAAATTTGATTTCCAAATAAAATCATAGCAGACCTTGTTCCAAACTTGACAATTAGACAATGTGATTTTAAAGGACATCTTGTTTTTAAAATATATTGTGTACAGGAAAAAATTATAGATAATAGTAATAGTATACATAGCATGTTTCCATTATTGTCAATGAGGCAAATGCATGCAAACATTTTTATATACTTGTATAGAAAGAGAAATAACTCCAAAGGGTTTTATATCAAAGTGTTAGCTGTGACTTATATATACCTGCAAAAAAGGATAACATTGTTAAAATAACCATTTAACTGATAACTAAAAATGCTAAATATACCTAATAAAGATAATATTAAATAAAATAGGATATACACATATTTCTTCATTAAACAGTATGCATATGATAATAGATGACAAAAAACTAAGTATTTTAGGGAGGTGGAATTAAGGCTTGGATTTCTAAGTTAAAATTTTAAAATTTATCTATGTCCCTTCATTCTGGAAGTAGCAACTTGTATTCAGTTTTTTTCCATTTTAAGTCTTTAATTCACCTTTAATTTTCCCAAAAGATAGCTTGTTTTCCCAATGCTATTTATTGATACTACCTTTTTATGTAATATATTCCTAGGCATACATGGACCTGATTGTAGACTTTCTCTTTTGTTCCATTAATATAACTATTCTTCTGATTTCAATAACTTGACATTATTAAATTTTGGTATAGGAAGTCCTACTTTATCGCTTTTTTTCCCCCAAAACTTTCCTAGACATTTTTGCACATTTACTATTGCAAATGATCTTTGCATCGTTTGTTAAATGAAAAATCAAGAACAATCCTCTGGAATACTTATTGTAAGGACACTAAATCGATAGGATAATTTGAGAGAACCTACTATGTTGATTTGACAATGGGATCAACTGGCCTCTCTCACCTTACAATAAGAGCACAGTCCTACTCACTCATTCCCAGGTAAAAGTTGGAACTGACATTTAAATATATTAATAGTCCCTATAAGAAAAACAGTAGAGCATATATTTTTTTCTTTTTTATGCTGAGAGGTAATATGAAACACAGAAAGCCTTAATGAGAAAGATGGTTCTAATTTGATTACAAAATTCAAAAATGCTTATCAATCAATCCAGAGGTCAAACTTTGCCTTCAAGTTAAATCAACAGTTTTCAGCTCATTTGTCAGAAGTAAGGAGCCAAGGAAATTCAGTGTACTCAAGTGGTACTAACTGGCAACAACTCCACCTAAACAGGCTAATTCTTAATTTTTGGGTCAGGAGTAACTCAGACACCCAACAGAGAGACAATTCTAAATTATTTGTTCTCTTACACCTTAGAGTATTTAGACCTCCCTCTTGCCACTGGACCCTCCAAACGGTGGGCCCTGCAGAAGTAGTAACTGTGTCACTAAAAGGATCGTACGCAGTGAAGGAAGGAATCCACTTTTCTTAAGTGTCTGTTACGGGTTAGGGCCCAAGTGCTTTGCATATGTTATCATCATTTAATAACCTTTTCGGAGGGAATGCAGCTCAAAAATTGAATCAAAAGCCACAGTAAGTTTCACTTCTCTAACTTCAGTGAACTCTAACTCATTTATTAATAGCACTGCCAGAACGTTAGGTTAAAAAGCTTTGTAAAAGTAGTTTCTACACACATTTTGGTTTGTCAATAGTATTACAAATTGTTCCTTTTGATCTGTTTGAAGAAATTCTATTGTTTCTAATTTTCTCTATCAAATCAATAACTACAAAAGGTTCATAAGCTAAATCTGAAAAACTCAGTTCATAACATTTGCTCCTGTGTGTTTAGCACACATTTTTAACCCTGAAAACATATTATGACTATCTACATCTTTAGAACTTTCAGTATCATTTCCTAAGTTTGAGGTTAATGCTGGAGCCGAAATTATCTTATATGAGACCTAATGCCCTGCTTATACAGCCAGGAGATATGGCAGGGCTTGCAACTGCTACTTAGGAATAATTTTCTTTTCAATTATTTTTTATAAATATCTCTATTTAAAAAAATTTTTTTTTCTTTTATTTCATCATATGGAGGTACAAATATTGTTAGGGTTACATATATTGCCCCTGTCCCCTCCCTCCCCCCCCATATGTCCAATCCCCTGGTGGTGTGCATCACACACGTTATGGAAGCATACACCCCTTTCCTCCTCCCCACTCCCACCTGCCCACCACCTGTTAAAAAGTAAAAAAAAAAGATTTTGCTTATTTTGCTGGGTGGAAATTACATTTACTTTGACAAGTAAAAAACTTTTTACTGAGTGTCACTATGTAAACTAAGTACCCTTAAAAATCATTTTTCTTTATCTCAATGGCCAAGATTTGAAACTATGGGATTGGGATATATATATATATATATATATATATATATATTCACACACACACACACATATTATTATATACCACAGGTCTAAAATTATGTTATCATTACATATGCAGTTTTGTAGGACTTGGTATTTTTAAAGAATTCAGTCTTAATAAAATTCTACCAAGTTTAAGTGGTTGTGGAGTAAAACTTTTCACTACATCAGGGTGATTCGGGAGGTGCTCCAGAGCTTCCCGAATTACCAAGGCAACCCAGGCTGGGTGCCCCTGTGCCACTACTTCTGTGGACCTCTGGTCTGCCAGAGGTGACAATAAGCATTAGGATGCACAGCATGGGGCCATGAGATGCTCTGCCACTAACTTGCTCTCATGCAAAGGAAATGTCCTTTTTTAACCAAAAAATCTGAACTAGTCTTCATTCCTTTCAGTTTTAAAACATGTTTTTCTAGAATTGAACAAACTAATTTTAAAATAAATTTCACTGGAGAGTAAGCATTGAGGGTAGAGGAGAACACAGTGTTCTCTAAGCCTGGCAGTTATCTAAAGAGGGTCTTGGGTGTGCTTCAACCTGTGAACGTTTTGATATTCTTATTTCAGAGATGGAAAAAAAATGCTAACAAACAATCCTAATATTAGAGTTGAAATTACATTTAACAACAGATACAAATTACTTATTCTAGAGAACCATGATTCTGCTCAAAAAGTAGTTGAAAACTAAAACAAAATATAGATTGGAATGGGCCAATGGGTAAAAAGGATTGAAGGCTCCATGCTGTATACATGTGGAAATTTTTTTACTTGCACACAGTTATGTAGCTAATTGGCGACAGTCTGAAATAAAATGCATTACATCTCAACTCCTGGGCCAATGCACTATTTGCTTTTATAATACCAGCACCTTGTGATATAAGCTAAGGGTATCTCAAATCAATGATAAAACGTTAGTAATACACTAATATAAATTATTCCCTCAGCATTTACACTGGCTAAAGTCACTCTCATCTCGACTGAAAAATCTTTCCTCAGTGGTTTACCATCCTTACAAGGCATCAGAATTAGCTGAAGCTCTTAAAAAAAAAGTCAATGCCCAGACTGTACCCTAAAAGATTATAATTAATTGGTGGTAAGGGCCAGGTGTGGGCACTTTTTTGAAAGTTCCACAGATCGCTTTAATATGAGAGAGCTACAATGCTACCTCTTTTATCTTATCCCGCACCTTAGTTACTGCTTTATCCTCTTTAATTCAGTTTGACTTTTAAAAATTTTAAATGATATAATTAATAAATATATAAAAAGTTTAAGAGATGCAAAATTTAGAGGAAAGGGTAAAGAAATGTAAATCCCTTTGAAAAGCAGGTCCTCTCTAACCAACCAGTCTCCATGGTTATCACTTTCTTCCACTTTCCCACTGCCACGCTTGCTCAAGGTGGTCCACGTTTTGCAGCCTCACCTCATCTCCCATCCACACCTCAGCACACTCCAGCATGGCTTCCATGCCCCTTGTTTGTAATTACTGCCACCAAGCTACCAATGACTATCTAGATTGTTAAACTCAACGAACATTTTGAAGTCATTAATATATTGGCCTTTCTGTGGTATTTAACCGCAGCCTATTTCTCGAAACTTTCTCCTTCCACTGCTTGTGACATTCCCTCTCAGCTGCTCTTTATCAGTCTGCTTTAAAAGACCCTCTTCTCATGCCTGGTCCTAGTTTTGTTCACCATTTCTTCCCACTTGGTACCTGATCCACACTAAAAGCATCCAACACTACCTACGTATGTTGATAATTTCCAAACCTCTAGCTGCAGCCCTATCTCTTCTTGAATTTCAGTCCATATATTCAGTTACCCAGTATCTCTTGATCTCCATGCCCCAAAGATATCTCAAACCAAGGTCTCCAGTGCCTCCAAATTGCTCATACGTATGTCACCATCTACTGTGATTTAAATGTCCTTTCCAAAACTCATGGTGAAATTTAATTGCCACTGTAACAGTGTTAAGAAGTGGGACATTTAAGAGGTGATTTGTCCATGAGGGCAGAGCCCTCACAGGTGGGATTAATACCATCATAAAATGGCAAGCTCGGCCCCCTTTTGCCTCTAGGTTCTTCCACCTTCTGCCCTGTGGACAGCCAACCCTCCTCCTCTCCAGAGTGCACGGCATGCAAGGCTCCTTCTTGGAAGAAAAGAATGGCCCCAACAAGCACCAATCCTGCTGCTGCCTTGACCTTAGACTCCCCAGACTTCAGAACTGTCAGCCAATGAATATCTGTTCTTTAAAAATTACCCAGTATCAAGCATTCTGTTGCAGCAGCACAAAATGGACTAAAACACCATCCATACCAAAACCAGAGGAGCCTTCACAGCTTCTTCCCTCTTTTGATGCCCTATATCCTATACTTGCCAAATGTATTCTCTATATAACTCTCAAATATAACCCTTTCCCACATTTACTGTTATGTCTTATTTCTGACCTTCATCATTTCTCCCCTAATTAATTCTTAGATTGGTACTTTGGACCCTCTTCAATTTCTCCAAACTGTTGAGTGTGATTTAAAATGTAGACCCAATTGTCACTTCAGTATCTCCTCATTCACATATTTAAAGCCCATACTTGTTACTTCTTAATATTTTATATGAAATTACTTATGATCTATGTGTGTTATAACACACGCTCCTATATATAATTCTCCAGCCTTAGTTCAATATCCCCGTTGCCCAGTATCTGCTAGCTGTACTGAACTATTCTGGCATGTTCTCTTGAGCTTTTGTCTTTGGAACACCCTCTGTCCGCTTCTTCCTTTGGATGATTTGCACTTACCCTTCCAAACTCAATTCAGCCATCACTGTAGCACACTTTCCAACCCTGGTTCATCCACCCCACCCCTCTGCCCTAGGGCCCTCTGTCCCTGCCACAGCTCCTGTTTCCATCTTATCCTTCCACTTCTACAGTGGAAACCTGTATCATCGACCCGCTCACATTTTATTGCAACTATGTCATTTTTTTTACCTTCCCCACGAAATATTAAGGGTCCCTCTAGTATTATTCCTATCTCTGTAACCCCGAAGCCTACCAAATAGTTGATATCTAGCTGATTTTCTCTATTTACTGAGAAAAATAACTGAGTGGGAATGTATAAAATTTATATCTTACTATCTAATAATACGAGGCAGGAACGATACTGATGAAAGTTGACATAATAAACCACCAGAGTGCAATAAATATCAACCTTGGAGTTATCCAAAGAACTTGGATAACTCAAAAGATATGAATTCAAATAAGTCTAAGTTATACATTAGCTTTACAAAATTTAAAAAGCTGATGATGGAGGTAGTAGCCAACTGGGGAAAAATTTACTAGACTAAAAACCTGTTCGTTTATCAAACAAACAAACGAGTTCTTATCTGTTTGTACAACTTTCCCCTTTACTTCAATATTTTGTAATCTTTTTTGGGCAGAGACCTATTTGAGTACCATGCACTTTATAGTCTCTACCTGCAAAAAACAAGGTAACAAATGTATCCTCTTCTGTAAACTTGCCTGACCTGGCCCTAAATTCAATAATTTCTGTAAGTACTCCTTTCACTAATTACTTAGTTTGTGCTATAATAATTTTTACATTGATATTTTACCCTCTAAAGTATGATATAGTTGTCATTTTGTATACATGTTCTCTCTCCACCTTCCTTGTGCACTCTGTAAAGATGGGAGCCAGGTAAATTTTAATCTTCTCTTCTGCTGTAGCCCATAAATGTCCAACTCAATGTATTAATAGTTGCCAAATTCACATTCAAGTATTGAAAAAGCTTCTCAACACCCAAGAACAAGCTGGTTTCAAGTAACAACAGTGTATTTATTACCAAGTGTTACTCTTAATGTTTGGCCTGTATTACACTTGTTAATTCTCACAATTACTCCCACAAGGTAAGCTATTACCCAGAAGTATCAATAACTTCTTAACTTCTCAAGATCATGAATCCAAGAAGTAGTGGCCCTGGGATTTGAACACTGACAGTTGGCTTTAAGAACGGCCACTCTTCAACACTGTACTACGTTACTTCAAGTACTTGAGCAGAATGACTATCAACTGGGATGTTTTAAAAAGTGGATGACTTGTACCACCATGTTACCTTTTTAAAACATAGTGCATTTTCTCCTTTCCTTTTTGGCTTTATTACCTTCCCTCTCTGTCCTCTTCATTCCATCCCATCAAGCCTCCACCCCAGTGTTCTGCCACCATCAGCGTTCTCATCCATTTTACACTAGCAGGTTTCCTTCCCAATTTTATCCCTATTCATTTAATCCTGTATGGGGAGACATAGATATTCACATGCACACAAACTCACATATATACATGCATACACAAAAGACAAAGGATATTTTCTCAAAACTGCAATATGTTTAGTTTTCTGCATATTGTTCCTTTCATAAAACAATACTTGCTGGAAATCCCTCTAACTCACTGGTATACATCTACTCTAGTTCATCCTTTCCAATGGCTGCTCAATCTTCTTCGGTATAGATGTATCAAAATTTATTTAGTCATTCCCCCATGAGAACTGTATTCACTTTGTTTCCAGTTGTTTGATGCTAAGAACAATGCTGCAATTAATATAAGACATCAGACATGCCAGTGGTGAAATGTTAAGTAGGCAGGCTGTGAGTTCCTTGGAGGAAGCTTCTCTGCATCTGGTCTTCCTGAATTCTTTCCTCCTTAGGTAGCAGGAACACTCTAGCCATTCAGCTCCTTCTCAGCCACTTGTTGGGGGTCACGCAGGAGAACTAACATATTTTGGTGGAGCTAATATCAAACTTCCATTCAGCAGCCTACAGATTTCAAAGCCAACGTCTCCCCGAGATCTGCAGCTCTCCAGTCTCTCCACCTGGCATTTGCTAACCCACATTGGAGAAAACCTTGCCTTGGTTCTCTTTGCCAAGACTCCCAACAGAAAGCAAGGCCCCATCTGCACCCAGCAGCCAAGTGGAGGGAAGGAAGACATTCTCAAGTTCTATGATTCCAGAATCTATTCCAAGTCTATCTAATAATTTAATGCACTGCTATGAAACCTACTTAAAGCACTGATTCCAAGCAAAGCTGTTCTATTGTATAGTTAAGGTAGAAATGTGACGACACAAAACTAGTTAATTTACTTAAAGTCAGAGTAATGAACTGAAACAATTTAGTGGAAAACAACTCAGTTCCCTGCCTTTCCTGCCAAAGTCAACTTAGGACAGGAGTATAAGAGATAAAGAGTACAAAAGAGGATATGGTTCAAAACATTTCTACTGAAAATGGCTTGATAACTAAAAAAGACAGAATCAGAGCATTCCCTTTTGGCTTCTATTACTTCATGGTGGTCATGAATTTTTATATATCCTAAGATAAATACACTCAATCGAAGCATACCTCTCCAATTGTATACCTACTCTAAAAATTTTATAATTTTCAAATTATTCTTTTTTGGTTCTGTATGTATTCTATTCACTCTTTTCCATTCAACTTCACTGCATATTCCAAACAAGCTACCTCATAGAATACTGAGTCACTTTTTAATACGAGACGTCAGCAATTTTTCAATTTGGATAATCAACTTTGCTGAAACCTGGAAGATTGGTTACATATAAATTTACCATATACATATACTTTGTTTAACACCACCATGCATGTAATGCTATCCCTAAAAATGTTCAATATTTAACTCATAATACAGTATACCCCAATATATATATATATATTGCCCACACTCAACAATGCTGATGGGTGCTGTCAACCAAGAAGAGTAAGCATGGCAAACAGTACTGTACAACTTCAGATAAGGAGCACACCGCAATGCCAACACGCTTATCTGATGGTGCGCCGCCTCACCCCTCCAGATGAAAGCAATCTGCAACATATGCTTACCTCACTGTGGCCCTCTCTATTTTGTGTTCTAGCAAGTAGTTTTGTCCCAAAATAGCTAACAAAAGGTAGACAACAATATTAGACCTGCTACAAATAAACAAGGACAAACATTATTCTTGGCGGTAGGATGAAAGTGTTACGGCAGCTGGAATGTGCCCTCAAGGAAAACAGTCAAAGGAAGCCAGGTGGTGATCAACGGAACATTAGATTTGACATTATGAAAAGCATCATAAATATTACCACAGGATGGGAAAAATGACTAATAACAATTGTTTGACTAGTGGCAATTCATGACTTTGGAGTACAGGAAAAATACTGAAGAGCGAGCACCAACGTAAGACATCGGAATCATTTCTCCATAGGGCCTCTGCTATAATAACAACCACATCACATTGGGTCAGTTACCAGCATTCCCACTTTTAGGAGCACATCCTATCTATCCCCTGAATCACTCCCTCTCATGGGACATGTCTCTATAACCATTATACTATAGAGGGAAAGAAAGAGAAGAGAGAAGAAAAATAAAATATTACCTTTTATTTTCTCAGGCACACAAGTGATTTGAAATACCAATTATCAAGACATCTTACTGATTCACTCTTAGAATGATCTATTTTAAATCTTTAGCCACCTTAGAAAAAAGTTTGTGGCAATCACTTTGCAATTCAGAAGTAGCAGGTTATAATTTAGTTGTGGAAAAAGTTAACAGTTTATGTTCAGTATGTGAGGTTATTTGAACTCCTGAGTTTTGAATATCCTGTGGAACAGTGATTTCTCTCCCTTCTTTAATGGCTTTTCAGCTTAAATCAATGATCTTTTAAAAAAAATATATCCTAAATACTTTATTATAGCAGAAATCAGCAATGCCTAATCTAAAACCCAGATAGTGTTATACTAACTAGCATTCTGATACAGTGAGTAGCCTCTAGCTGAAACAAAATTCCATAACTAAGGTTATCAATGTAGGTTAGCACTGTTGTTCCAGAGGTCCATATAAACCTCTTTTTTTCTCTGCAAATGCTTCTTGAATGTGAACAGCATAGATTTACCTTTCATCTAACAATTTATCTACACCAACCTGGCACATAGCTGGTGACTCTCTCAAGCATTCTAAAGATAGCCCCAGAGCTAACAGATATTGATATATGAAAATTTTTACCCAAGGACAGTCCAAATCAGCAGGGCACATTATCAAACACAGGAATGCTTGGGATACGCTTGTACCTATACCACTTAGTTCAGCTACAGCAAGGGCAAATAAGAATAATTACTGAACTAAACAGTTCCCAAGAAGGAAAATGTTTTATAATCATATACTTGACCCTATTAGTGGAACGCCATCTTAAAAACATTTGTAGCTGGTTACAAAGTGCATCAAGGGAAAAGTATGGCTGGCTCTGAATTGAACCTACCGTGACTCTGGACATAAAATACACATTCTAAAGACAGAGATTTGGTTACATTATTTTCACAAACCAAAGAGTACAGATTTCAAGTTTTTGCACAAATAAGCTGATCAAATGAAAATGGACACTTAGTAAATTTATACATATTTTTATAAGGTATTATTTTAAAATAATTTACATGACAGAATTTGGCAAAGAGTAAATAAAATCATTAATAATAAACCCAAAATATGCAAAACTTAGGGAAAGGCCCAAAGATTAAAAATAGAACACATTTTCATCAGATTGATTTGGAAATTAAGTGTATTACAAGCTTTTTAAAATGTGCACTGAGCAACTTTACACCGTACTTAAACAGTTTGAAAAATATAAAACATTTTATTTCTATAAATATACATGACTAGAGACATTTTATAAGTATATATGATTGAAGGCAATATTTGGGCAACATGAAAGTATCCTAGAGAAGTGTGTTGCTACCATAAATCTGGGATGCAAGGTTAGAGATGGAATGAATAAGGCATGGCAATGCTTTGCACAACCTAAAAACCCAGCAACTAAATCCACCTATGGAGTAGCATGACTGTAAAGACTAATGTTTACTTGAAGGCTGGAAATGCTGAAGAAAGAAAAACTGCAGCTACAGATTAGTAGTTTAGAAATAGTCAATCCATATTATTTTAAGAAAAAAATGGATGATTTATTATATAAAATTATGATTGGCAGAATACAGAAAAATTATTTCTCTTTTACCTTTACATATTTATTACAAGTACCAAGCAAAGTGTAACAATTGGAAGAACTCATTACGAACTACCAAAAAATATTCATTTGGTGAAATTATTCAAGTCACAAATGCTAAGTAAATAAATGCACTTCAAAATACATGAAGTGTAAAACAAGTACAAAAACAGTGATCTTAAATAATCATTTCTTTAATTAAAAGCTATTCAATAAACAAGAAGCACAAGAAAAAGGCTGTCAAGTTAGAAATAAATCAAATGTATTGTTGGTTGGATTATTAAACTAAAATCATTAAAAAATCTAAATAGCCAATTAGGATTCAAAAAAGAGAACTAAAAAAAGCAATTAGGATTCAAAAAAGAATAAGAATATTCGAATAGTTATATATTTTTTTCTACCAATAATTGAAGGGTTGGAGGCCAATTATGTCCTGTAGACCCAGGTACCTCTCAGAGTATTTGCACTAAAGTCTTCTAGATATGGCATCTAAATGAACTTTACTGTCACTCAAAGGTGAGAAGACTTATGCATGATGAAAGAAAGAAAAACAACACTCGAATAGGGCAAAAAATTTACGCATTAAAATAATCAAATTCAGTTCTAGAATAAGACTAAAACAATCTGCTTCCAAAGAATTCCTTTGTATTTTAGTATATCAGCCCAAAGGTTTTATCCTAATGAAAAGGCAAATGAGAGGTCTCTGATAAGCTGGAATCTTCATAATAAAAAGAAATACCTACCAGAAAATTTGTATTATTATCTATAATCTCATTTGTAAAAAAGGTCTCATTAAGTTACTGTAAAAATAAAGGTGATAAATGAATAACCCATATTTCATATGAATCATATGCCGAATTATTGTACTCTATAGTTGTAAGTGCTATTAATAAATACAACTGATTCATGCTATAAGAGAAAGAAGTCAAACATTTAATTTCACATTTCAGAATTCCTGAGTCTTATCAGAGAAAAACAAGTACCAAAAAAACAAACAAAATAAGCCTACCTATAGTAGGTCAAATAATACATTGGGCATTAAGTTCATATTATATTAGTAATTTTAAAGCTGAAGACTATGGGGACAAATATATATGTACTTCAATGAAATTATAAACATGGTTTTAAAGCTTGGTTTGTTAAAAAGGCGTTTTGATTGAACAAGGCCACCTGAGTGACACCTTTAATGATGGTAAGTCCACCATTTTAAAGGAAAATCATCTTTATTTCAAAGCCTAATTATCAATATAAAAAGGAAAAAAGTTTATTTTAATAAAATGTTTTAGTAAGATTGCAATGGGACAGCCCTTTGATGAAAGATCTAAGGAGGATAAAGCCAATGTAACTGAATTAGAACACAAGTTCTAATTTTGAGCCACCACCCATTAAATAATTTCCTTTTTGCTTTGCATATTACACAGTGAAAATAAAGATTATCTTAAGAGCACTTCAGTCCCACAATGTAGGATTTAAGCTTGTGTGAATAGGTGTAAATGGCTCTGCAATGATGGGATGCTTGCAAAAATACATTCAACTGAAAAGTTTATGTCTCTTTTCTAACTAGTAAGGAAATGGGAAGCAAAGTGGTCCCACCTAAAACAACAAAATAAAACTAAACAAAACAAACACTGTTCATCCTTTCTGGAAAGACTACCAAAACAAAGAACACCCAATAATATTATACATTTAATAACTGCATACTTTTACTCATCTTTTTAAGTAGGAAAGATGCATAAAACTATTCTTGGACTTTATAAATAAAGACACTTAAGCAGAAAAAATATTTGGGTTATTTCTCTGTTCATAAGTACTCAGAAATAAAACAATTAAAAAACACTAAAGTGCAGACCTATAAGCCAATACAGGCATGATAAAGAGGTGCAGCCAAAATTGCATCTACATTTACACTTACGTATCCAGAAAATGATTCTTGCTTTAAAAAAATTGTGCAATTTAAAAACTAGTCAGTTTCGTTTGTGCCGTAATACAATTAGAACTTGTCTCTGCTCACTAGGGAAGTGACTGCTAGACCTTGGACAGCACACTAGGCTCTTGACAATCATACATTTTGTTAGAATCATACAATATTGATTCCACCTCCAGAAAATGTTAGGGTCCTCTTGTTGTAGAATGAAGAGCCACTGGTATTTGGTTGATTGCCTTTAACCAGAGAGGTTTTCAGTTCCATTTCACAAGCTACAATAGCTGCATTCAATTCCACTTGAGCTCGATGAACTACATAAAACATGAGGCCTATACTTATAATAATCTGTGAATAAAAATAAAATATTAGAGTTATCAATATTTTATGCAAAAAAGAGAAATAAATCCAATAAATATTTGGCTAAGAAATACTTCAAACAGAGTGCTTCTCAAATGAGAGATATTATACATTTTAAACAGTTTATACACAGTTATCATTTATTCTTTCCTGGGGTGATTCTCCTGTCTCAGGTAAAAATACAGCAAACATACATCTCTTTTGTTCCATATAAATGATGTTTGCTTGATACAAGTCAAACTTTTCTCTTACCAAAAAGATTCCTTCGAGGAATGAAAAATGTCTATAATAGAGGTAACAGCTGGCTAGACTTTATTAGTGTATTTCAAGTAGTATTGTATCTTCGCATCACTATAAATGTCCATAGGTATTTCTAAGTCCACTTACAGGTAAGCACTATCATTTGCAACAAATTACCTGGTGCAGACAAAAAAAAAGTCTTAAGGACCACTTAAAAAACTAAAATCCCAATAAACTTCAAAAGAAATTAACGAGAGATTGTGAACATGAAATTTCACTTAGGGAAAAATAAAAACAAAAGAAAACATGATGATAATACAAAAAGAATGCCAGTCAAACCATCAAACTGATCAAACTGAAAGTCAGGGTCCCACTCTCGGTTTAGCCAGTCACTAGCGGTGTGATTTCAGGGAATTTCCTTAAACCATTTGAGCTTCAGTTTCCCATTGTCCGGTAGTAAGTCGTGGTCTCTCTGCGCTCTGAGATTCTACACACAATTCATCAGAATGTCTAAGCAGTCTACGTTTTCTAAATGATTTGTACTCCAAACTTCATTTGTAAGTCAGGTCTTCAGGGTCTGAAGCAAATACAGTAGGTGCTGTTTAATGTCCCAGCAAGTTTACAAAGGATGCTTTAAACAAAAGTGGCCCTAAAATACAACACTTTCAATTAATAAACCTACCAGTAATTATAACATAAGCTTTATGGGAAACATATTCTTAATACAAGTGTTGAGGGTGGCAGGGGTAGCAGGGGAAGTAGAGGCAGAGCATCCTGAGATGTCACAGGTGAGGTAGAGGGGAAGGATGTGCCAGGAGGTTCCATTAAATGAATACCACCACTCAATAAAATTCTAAGTAAATTAGGTAAGGTAGTTTTTAAATTTTGTAATTGTTCTCCTAAAACAAACAACATATACTTACTGAAAACTCCTAAGTTTGATACTTATTAGTAAATGGTAATGCCATGTAAAGAGATGGAGAAAATGTTAACTAATTAACTGGGGGGGGGAGGGGTTATGAATGAGATGCTAAGTTCTGTTTAAGACATACCAAATCTGAGGTTTCTGTTAGACATTTAAAGCAGTTCATGGATGTTACTGAATGGATTTGAAGCTACAGAAAGAAGGCTGAGCTAAAGATGTGTACTGGGGAAGGGGTTGTCTTTACACAAATAAACATATTAGCAGCCAGGACAGTAAGTAGATTCCTCCTCCCAAAAAAAAAGAAAGAAAATTTTCAGAGTGACTAGAGAGCTTCAGGCTAGAATGTTCAGAAACACAGATATAGGAGGGAAAAAGAAGACAAGCGTATGCCAGGGCAAGTGGGGAAAAAAGGAATCAAGACAGTGACATCAAAATAACGGAGGGAAAAGAGTTTTGATAATAAAGGCAAAGGCTTTATTAGACAGCTAAAGTGTCAATCTAGATGAGGAGTGGAAAGTGCATCTGACTGACAGGGTTAGTGGTGACCTCAGAAAGCACAGTTTGAGAAAAGGATGTGGCAGGAACACAGACAGTAAGTTCAGACCCAGTAAAAAAACTTTTTTGGGCTCCCAGAAAGAGTAAACTGGCTATATCTTTACGTGGGATTTTTTTCCTGCTCCCCTTCTGGATCCCAGGGCCTGACAGTCCCTGGGGACTGACTCTCCCCCAACATGCCCTCACCCTCTTCCTTGGCCCAGTGTAGTGTTTTGGTTTTTGGTTTTTTTTTTTTAAGACAATAAAATGGAAATGGGAATTATAAGCAATCATTTTAAGTTTCCCTATTAAAATGACATGAAAGAATGAAACACAGGCAGAAGGACAAGCCTCATATGGAAAAACAGGCATCTCTTCAAACTGGAAAGCAGGTGAAAGTAGGGGCAGGAACACAAGAAGGTTAATAGATTTCTTAGATGGAAACTTAGGGGACTTCCATTTGAAGGCTTCTGATTTTTCTGTTAAGCAAGAAAAGAGGTAATCTGTTGAGAATGAAGAGGGAAGTAGGGGAAGGAATAAAAATTGTAAGAAGAGTGAAGATAGTCTGAAATTGTCAACTACTTCAAGAAAATAGGAGAGGAGTGAGAAGACAAAGGAAAGAGTTGGGATGTGCGGCAGGGTTGACAATACCAAGGAAAGGTTTGCAACTGTGAGTTAAATATTATCAATCCATCAGGTTACATGACTTCCCCCAAAAAACTGGTACAAAGCAGATCAAACTTGGACTTACCCAGGCAGGGGGGGTCTGGGTTGGTGCGTACAAAGAAAAATGTGGGGCATGGAAAAGAATAACTAAATAGATCATGGAATCTAAGTTGGATTTCAGTACAGGTTGGGTATCGCTACTGAGGAAATCCGAAATCTAAAATGCTTCAAATTTCTAAACTTTTTGAGCACTGATGTGACACTCAAAGGAAATGCTCATTGGAGGATTTTGGATTTCAAATTAGGAATGCTCAATCAGCAAGTATAATGCAAATATTCCAAAATCTGAAAAAAAAAAATTGAAATCCGAAACATTTCTGCTTCCTAGCACTTCGGGTAAGGGATATTCAACCTGCACAAGAAATAGTTGTGGCTTCCTCCAAACACTTACTTTGTATTGCTTTAATTTTACTGATATTTTGGACTCTCTTTAGGTTGGTGGCTATAATACTCAGAGGCAAATTTGTGGCTCATTTCTAGCAAGCAGGAGGAAACTCAAATATATTTACTCTACTAGCTATAACTGAAGCTTCATCTTTTTTTCTTATGCTAATTTCCCCCCTGTAAATGACTTTTACCCTTTTTATTCTTTGGTATATATTTTAAATCCTTCCTGAATCAAATTAAGCTATAACCAATATCAATAATCAAGCTGAAGCATAACTATGCCTTCACTTTATTTATTTAATTTATTTATTTTTGGTAAATGCTAGAGCTAAGAATATGTACTTTTTCCTTGTCTTGTATCCTAAGCTTAAATTTGCAAGCTCAAACAAAAGGTAAGAAATCACTGGATAGGACCAGGTGTGGTGGCTCACGACTGTAATCCTAGCACTCTGGGAGGACAAGGCTGGTGGATCATTTGAGCTCAGGAGTTTGAGACCAGCCTGAGCAAGACCGAGATCCCCATCTCTACTAAAAATAGAAAAATAAGCTGGGCATAATGGTATGCATCCATAGTCTCAGCTACTTGAATGGAGGAGGCAAGAGGATTGCTTGAGCCCAGGAGTCTGAGGTTGCAGTGAACTATGATCACACCACTGCATTCTACCTGGGGTGCCAGAGCGAGACTCTTATCTCAAAAAGAAAAAAAAATCACTAGATAAAAGAAGATCCTATAGTTTAAGAAGTACCATGAACTCCACTGATTATAGTTAAGTAATTTACTAAGATGCATAGAAATACAAAGCTTCAAATGATGAAAATCCTCTCCAAGCTACTAATATTGAGAAATTCTAATTACTCACACATTATGTCAAGGAGAAAAAAAGATGTTTCAGATAGATTATTCACTTTTAGGAAACTATAAAAACATAAAATATGCTTAAACTTATACTAAAATCTATTTAAGAATGAAGTATATGTCAGAATCTTATAGTACCTTGGGATAATCAGAAATTTAAAAGTATTATATATGTTATATATTATAGATACAATGTACAGAAACTTTAACATAATATGATTAGCGTGCCATATTACAAATATACCAACTATAACAAAAACTCAACCTAGATTCCATTATCTAGAGAAAATATAGCTCAGGAAAAAAAATCAGTAAAGAAAAATTAAAACTCCCTGAATGTCAAAAATACTACAAAATTTTTTTAAAGCAAGCCCTTTGTATTGGCAAGCTTTATTTAAGCAATATTCCAATGTAAATATTCGTGGGCTTACTTATTTACTTAACTTGTACCTCATAAGCATAAAGAAAATTAACTCTGGTTTTATCATAATATTTTTAATACAATACAGCGTCTCAAAAATTTGAGAATGCCACCAACAGCAAATCTGTAACATGGTACCATACATTCAGTAACAGTATAAATTATAACAAGTTAAATGACCAGTAAGTCTGTAAGACTATCTTATTAGTATTATCTGCTCAGAAGACTATACTATTGTCCCTTGGTATTCACGAGATATTGGTTCCAGGAATCCCCTGGATACCAAAATCTGTAGATACTCAAGTCCCTTACATAAAATGGTATAGCATTTGCATATAACCTTCACATATCCTCTCATATACTTTAAATCATTTCTAGATTATTTATAATACCCAATACAATGTAAATGCTATGTAAATAGTTATATTCTTTTATTTGTATAGTTTTTTTATTGTCACATTGTTATTTTTTATTGTTTTGGGTTTGCTTTAGTATTTTCTATCTGGGGTTGGTTGAATTTGCAAATGTGGAAATCAGTAGATATAGAAGGCTGACTGTATTCTATTGGTTATGAGCATGATCTCTAGAACCAACCACTCTGGTTCAAATACCGGCTCTTCCCCTTATAGCTGTGACTTTGAACAAGTTACTATCTAATGATGTCTTGGTAAATTACCTCCTGGGGATTAGAGGTGGGAGGCATGATTTATAGCATTCACCATTTACCATGGTATAAATGTTCCTGCCATGGCCAATTTCAAGAAACCAATGTGACTGATATGACTGAACACAGAGCTGAAAAATGATATACACAATTGGCTCAAGATAGTAAGTCTGTACCTCCTAGGGTTTTGGTAGGGACTAAATGAGCTTAAATATGTGGCATATATACGCATGGA